GGGTGGTGGCTTACATGAATGTGATCCAACTCAGACGCCACATACTCAAGCCGAGTTGCAAAGAGTGTCGCGCATCTCTAATACCCACACTCTTGTACATGAGGTCTGATAGAGCCGTCGTGGGGAGGATGACATCTCTCTCCCACTGCCCGGTCAACTTGTCGAGCTCGTCAGGGACGGAACCGAGCCAGGGCTGGTCTGAGGATTCTTTTGGATCGGCGCCAGCTAGATCGTGGAGATGCGTGACCATTTCCTTGATCACATCCACGTGGATGTATATGAGACGTTCGACCTTGAGCCATTGCGCGCTGTTCTTCCAGAGTTCGGGGGCGCGAGATTCGTCGGCGGGGTTTTCGTAGACTGGGTGAGATGGTGGTCAGTATAGTTTCTTGTGAGCGGTAGGTGGAGGTGACTACTCACTCTTATCTTCCAGAATCCCGACATGTGTCTCGCAAACAGCCAGAAATTTCTGCCAATTGTAGCTCAACGCTTTGAACACATCCTGCAAGATGAAATCCATACACTCCGCCGTCAGCGTCTCGTCGTTCTCTTCCATGGGTAGGTAGAAGGATAGTCGTCTCCAGCGAGACTCGAGTTCTTGTCGCGCGCCAATAAGGGTGTCTTTGACGGAGCCTGTGACCGAGTTCTCAAACAGAATGATTGTGTTGCCGTTGTCGAGGGACCGGAGCTTGGGGATGTAACGTTCTTGGTGCTCATTCGCATCTACGTTGCCGTAACTCTTCTTCAACCGCATGTACTCTTCCCACGCTTCCTCGTCGTATGGGTTTGGTATATCGGGGTCGACAGCTTGACCTGGAGTTCCGTCGCTGAGCTGAACGTAACAGCTCAATCGCTGCACATATACGTCGTGCCCATACCGTGGGTGATCCGTCTCATCGTAGTGATTAAGCTCCATTATGGACTTGTTGTTATTCGGACGTGGAATGTGTGTATTCCTGTCGTACGATTTGAGGTAGTCAGCCCCGAAGGCTGCGCGCGAGATGCCGCGCCAGGGATCGCGTTGAGCGCGGAATGTACGGCCATTGAGGACAGGTTTGCCGCCGCGTTGTTGAGGCTTCTCGTAACTGGCCCATCGCCCGAAGTTCGTGCCTATGAGATCGTCCGTGGCGTCAATGTTGAACTTGCGGAGGAGGAAGCGTGTTGCCCAGTTGGCGTTTTGGACGTGAATCACGCGCAGTGCTGCTTGCGCCGAGAGATCCTCTTTGCGGTAGAAACGGCGCAGACTGTCGATGTCAGAGAACTCCTGAGCCACGATCTTCCGCCTGCCCTCCGCAGAGTGTTCCTTTGCAACATAATCGATGAGCAGCACGCGGCCCTGTGACCAGCTCTCCTTTGTCCATGGTTGCCGCCATTCGAGATTCGGACTGTGCTTGCGACGGTGGCCAAACGTGCCTTTCGGAGGTTCTCGGTGCCGTAAGTGTGATTGTTCGTCTTCGTGGGAGTAGTGCGTGGACGTGGTAAAGGCTCGAGGGGCTGTTCTGAACGTTAGCTAGGGATCCTGACAGCCAGCAAGCGCGACAGCTAGTTGCGACATCTGCCAGCGCAACGCCAACCTGGTAACTTCCAGGACCAATAGGTACTTCAAGTAGTATCCAAGCTCCACGCTATTACCCTCGTCTTTACAACGTCTCTTCTCCTTCGCTTCTCTTCTTCCTGGGAACACTCACCATTCGTATCCTCTGGGTCAGGACTCGGCAGCGGCCCTACCCCCGTCGCCGTATCTTCCACCGTAATCGGCGGCGGAGTATTCGTCGTTCCCGTCCTCATACTAGCCATGATATGCCAGATATGCGACCGAAGTCCGAGATCTTGCTATAGCTATGTCGAGTGCTGAACGCGAGTCGCATTCAAGGATGATCAGCCGCCAACGAAATCGGGATTGCGAGAGTACGACAACCGCGTACGACGAACAAACAGGACGGTTGGTGGAAACGAGGCGCACATAGGTGATGTGATGTGCGATCACGGAAGGTGTGTCACGGTGGACGGTAGTGGAGTGCCATGATGGTGGCCTAACCGGTGTGTGGTGCTGCGCTCAGAGGAAGGTCATGCCGTGCTGCCGTGGGTGGGTATGTTGTGGCTGAGGCGATCATGAGGCGGCTGAGATGAAGCCCATCTGCCACCAACGGACGCGGTGTTCAGAACACACTCATCAAGATTTCGAGCTTGAACGCGAAGCCGAGAGGAATCATCCCTAGGAACAAATGCAAAACCTCCACCTCCTCCCCTCCTCCTCCCCTCCGCCTCCCCGCCGCCTCCCCCACCCACCCGGTATGTTGTGGCTGATGCGATCATGAGGCTGAGATGGAGTCCGCCAACCGCGCTGGAACGCGATTGGGATTCACGGGGGCAGGGAGGATTTGCATAGTGCGAACTTCCTTCTTCTCCTTTCCCGATCGCCGCTCTGGAGGAGAACGGTGTATTGCCATGATAGAGGCACAACCTGTATGCCGTGCGCCGAAAGGGAGGTGATGTGCAGGTGGACATGTTGTGGCTGATGAGTCTGGGGTTCGCGTCGCGTGAACTTCCACCGCCCGCACTAGAGGAGGCTAAGGGGCATGAGGCGGCTGAGATGAAGCCCACCACCGGACGCGGTGTTCAGATCACGTTCCTCAAAGACTTCGAGCCCGAGCGCGAAATCTAGAGAACTCATCCTCACAGACAGATGCAAAACCTCCACCACCTCCCCTTCACCTCCCCTCCGCCTCCCCCACCCACCCGAGTTCGCATCGCGTGAACATTTGCGGGCAGCACTAGAGTGAACTAAGCTGCGGAATCAGCCTTACGGATACGGGATGACAAGAGCACGACGAGACACACGCACAAGACATTTCGATCGATTACGTTATTATTCTCCACTCGTGAGGATCTTGATTAGATTCTAAATAACTAGACAGTAGACTACGAGTTCCATATGGCAACTCGGCTATATATGCAAACAACAAAGCTGGGTGGTATGATATGATACGGTAATAAGGTCGTGATAATCGTGTCGGGTTGATGCATCTGCGCCGGAACCATTTAGCGCCTCGATAGATGGGTATTAGCAAGGAGAAACCGAAAACAACAAGATCAAGGAAAAATTCCCAGCATGAAAGGACCGGTCCGCTTTAGGTCGCTCGCTCGCTCGCTCAAACGCCGTGAAGCATGATGTGGGAGAAAGCAAGGCAGGGGGTATCTAATCATTCACATTGGCGGCTGCGCCTCGTGATTTCCTCGTCACTGAGGGCAGCGAGCCAGAGACATTTGCTGAGGACGTGAGGTTCGACGTTGAAGGTGTATTTGGAGCTGGCTTCGAGGAGGCGGAGTAGATTCTTGACGATGGTGGCGGCGGTGTGGTGGCGGTCAAAGTTTACGAGGCGTTCGCCGTCGGCGGGTGGAGCGTCAATGAAGGCAGGCTTTTGCGCGTTATAGATGAGGTCGCGGGTGTAAACGCCTGGTGGTTGTTAGCTTTTGAAAAGGCGACTGTTGGGCAATTACTCACCAATGAATGGAATGCAACCGTCGTCTACAGTTGCTGTTTCCATTTCGAGCCGCAGGTTGTGGAAGTTCTTCAACGGTTGGACAAGCGCTTCCAACTCTGTCATGACCAGCATCTCGGCTGCGGGAACCAAAGCCCATGTCTTCTTGAGACTCGATACATCGTTCGATATCAGGGCTATCGCGATCTGGTACATTGTAGCGTAGTTGCGGTATCGTCGCGCGTGGGTTGCGATGTGAATAAACTTGGTGATGCATCGCGCACGCTCGTGGATATCCTCGGTGAGCAGGACCTCGGATACAACCCATTTGACGACAAGGTTGAATCGCGCGATGACGACATCCACACCTCTAGCCTCTTCCGTTCGGAGATATTGTACCCAGTCGCGGATTTGCGGGGAGGACTGCTTCCAGCGCAACTCGATAAGTTCCTTCCAATCAATCTCGTCCAATGCGTCCTTTTCAACAATGGTAAACTGCTGAGCGAGGACTTCGGAGTCATGGGCCAAGATGAAAGGCAAATGTGCAGTTCGTGTCGGAGCTGCACTCTGCTGAGGACCTTCTAGATCAGCGGGAGACTCAGCAAGCTGCACAGGCTGCGTGGACGGCTGCTGGTTCGCGCGAGAGACGGTCGGGGTAAGGCCTGGTGTTGGCAGCCCTCGGTCAAACACTGTTGAGCTCGGTAATTCCTCATTCAGCCGGTTACCTGTGAGAGGTGGTGTTGGAGGGTGGCGCATAGGATGCGTCAGATTGTCAGGGTCACCCTCAGGTGTTGCTGGCTCATCGTCGAAGAAACTCCTCACGCCGTGGCTATCATGACCCGACTTCGCTCCTCCAGCAGAACTCCTATCACTGAGATCCTCGTCTTCGTCAAGCAGGAACGATTCGCGCGGGTAGGCTGTACTCGGCAAAGTCCCACCAGGCGGTATTTGCTTCATGCTTTCTGTTTCGACGACGTAGTCAATAGAGGATTCCATCGACGAAGATGTACCTGGTGGACCTTCGGAATGAGGCGAGACACTGGCAAAATGTAGAGGTGATGGCTTGGCGGAAGACCTCATAGTATCGAGCGTATGCCCTCGCTGGGGGGTCTCAATTTGGCTCAAGCCCCGGTCGAGAAGAGGTATTGAGGAATAAGAGTCGGTCGACTCCCCAACAGACTGAACCGCAGGTACACGGCGGTTGAAGTTCTCAGCAGAGAGGCGGTACATTTCTTGTCCGTCTGTTTCTGGAGGAGCCAGTGGACGGTGGAAGACGTCATCGGTTTCGGGACGCCCTCCCTGGTCGAAGGTATCAGCTCGCGCGCGTTGTTGATCAGCACCTGTCGGGCGGTAGTAGTCCAGCTCCACAGTGGTCCGCTGGGAGGGAATGCTGGGCGACTTCTTCTCGTAACGGCCCTCCAGCTTCATCAGGGCCGACTCGACACCACCTTCGTCGTCCGTATCGTCAGGGAGAGCGGCAAGCTTTGCTACTTCAGCTTCGAAAGAGGGTCTTAGATTGGGCTGCGAGGAGTGTGTGTCTACTAATGAGATGGGCTTCTTTGGCACCTCGGCTTCGGCTGGCCCTTCTGTGACGGGCTGGGCTTCGGGTTCTGGGTCGTCGAAACGATCGGATCGTAGGATAACCGAGTTTGTGACCGAATGCGTTTGGTTCGAGACTGAGCCGGTGGAGTGTGGGCGCTGCGATAGTTCGAGATCATGGATATTTCCTGCAGCGCGAAGGTCACCACCCGGACGCCTACGAAGCTGGCGTCCGGGCCCGCTAGCATCTGGCGCTGGCTGGCGGTCGAGGAAGAAGGGATCGTTATCTGATGACATGGTTTGGAATGTAGCAATACTCGCGGGTCCTTGACGTCTGCTAAGCACGCTGTTGTAGGATGCATGTCGACGGAGAGAGCCTGCCCGCGCCAGTGAGTTCTTGGCCGATCCCCGGCGTCGGAAGGAGTGCATCCTTTCTGGACCTGCAGAGATGGACCTCCTTGTTTGTCTGGTGGTGGGTCGTCTCGTCGACATTCGCGAATAGCGGTGCTCTTCTGTTGCTGTTGCTGTTGCTGGGCGAGGCTCTGGATCGTCGTAGAGCTCGGAATGCCTTACTGGGGCAACGGGCTCACTAGCCAATTGCTCATTATTTGCCTCCTTTTGTTGATGACTATCCAGCTTTGTTGCTACCTTGTCGAGATCGGGTGCCAAGGTATCCGATATGGCGGGCACGGGTGGTGGTCCGGTGTCGTCAATGATCACTATCGACTTGCTGCCGCTGGTGATGGCGCTGTGTACGCGAGGATCAGGTGCCTTCTGCTGCTCGGTTTGGTTTGGAGTACCACGCCTGTCGAACTCAAACTCGAAACCGCCGAGATCGGGGGGCTCAAGACCGTGTTCCTGACTCTCACTTTCAAGCTGCTCTTGGACAGCTGCTCTAAAACTCTCTGCAACTGCGGCAGCCAGGATGTCAATGCGCACCTGGGGCTTTGGTCGAGTGGGACGTCGTTTGTGTACGCCTCCTGAGATGGAGACGGAAGACATGGCGCCCGGATTGGAGGCTCGCATATATGGCGGCTGCCGTTGTTGTCCAACGCTACCTAGCTGAGGGCTTGGACTCATTTGCTGCCGGGTGCTTAATGCGCGGCGCACACTACCGAAAATCTTCTTCATGCCTGGAGAAGCGGCATGCCCTGGTCTCTGGAGCTCGTTCGCCTCCGCATCTTCGATGTCGTGCAGGTACTGAGACCGCGAAGGGCGTATAGCTCTGACTTCAAAGTACGGTGAGCTAGGCTGGAAGAGTCCACCACGTACTAGTGTGCCGGGCATGTTTGTGACAGCAGACATGGCATAATCTGCGGGTGCGTTCTTAGGAATGGACAGTGGCGCTCTGCTATCTCGGAGAGCATCGGAAAAGCTCCCACTGCGCTTGTGGCCATGCGACGGCCGATGGGCGTTCTTGATGGATGCTGGTTGTTGTGGACTAGCTGTCAGGCGAGCGGTGGCAGTAGGAGCTGGGTTGGTAACTGGTATCGGGTGTGGATATAAGGGCAGTTCGACGGCCTGGTCATGTTTGTGTCGCATAGGTATTGAACAGGACAGAACGTGCATGCTCTGCTCACTGGCAGGCGAAAGAGGCACCTGGGCGGTCTCGTATTCTTGCGAGATGTAAGGCGAGCTCATGGAGTTTTGAGGCGTGTGTCGTGCTCTCTGCGCCCAGTCCATATGCCGACTGGCAAAGTGGTCGCTTGGATTTGAACCGATGGTCTCTTTGGTGTCCCGGATATTGGCTCGTGGGGGAGTTGAGGGTAATGGAAT